AAACCCATGTTGCCCTGGGTTGTGTAACTGATGGGTTTCTAGATGGGTGGTGATCTTGCTTCTTAGGACCCTTTCAAAGATTTTTATGATATGGGATGTTAGTGGAGGCAGGAACCATACATAATTTTAAGACGATGTATGATAAAGCTCATGGAGCAGGGAGAGGGAGGACCCAGGGCCAGGAGCTGAGTCTTAACCCCTGCAATCACAATTAGGTGAGTACAAATAGGTAAGTACACACACACACACACACACACACACACACACACACAGGAGGCAGGATCCATACATAGCTTTAAGCAGAGGTATGATAAAGCTCACGGCTCAGGGAGAGTGACCTAGTAGCGATCAGTGATGAGGCGGGGCCAGGAGCTCGGACTCGACCCCCGCAACCTCAACTAGGTGAGTACAACTAGGTGAGTACACAGTGAGCAAAGTCAGGGTATTTTTCAAGAATGGTTTGTACTATACGACTGTGGATGAAATACTCTGACATATCTTGAACACTTCTGAGTGAGTTTTCTCTGAATTCATTAATTTAATCGCACTCCTCTACAAAGTGACGCAGGGTGTGACAATAGTCCATCTGGCAAAGTTTACTTTTCGTTTGGTCCACGCCCACAGGATGGGTATGGGGTGCATAATAAACATTAAACTAAACGTTTGGTCTACATCTGGTGGTGGTGATTTAACCTGCCAAAGATACTTGTAACCCATCCAGAGCTGGGCGGCATCGACATCCAAAAGTCTGCTTATGTTGTTGACTGCACCATAGACATGTGGCTCCTCCTGCATGGTAGAATGATAGTTGGACTGACTGCTGTCAATCTCCCTGAGTCTAAAGTCAAAAGAAATCAGATGAAGTTTCTTTCGTTTTGTTCTCAAACTGCTGACTGGCAAGCCAAGATTGTAATCTACCCCTTCTCTGAAAGCATACAACTTAGCCAATTCATCAGTTCTATCATGCATCTGTAGACGAATGTGAGATGTAATCCAGTGCACTCTGACTCTGCTGTCCACAGTCCTACCATACCTGTGTCTGGCTTCTGACACAAACATACAACAGTTTATACTTAAGGAGTTGAGAGCATTTATGGATGTTAAAGAATCAGTTACAATTAAATACTTGCAGATAGCACATTAGTACTCCTTTCGTCACCAGGTCTATGGATTTTAGCTCTGTGAGAACAAGTGGTGATTGGAGGTATACCTGGAGGGTGTTCCAGGGGTCACTGTCCTCGCGGCCCGGTCCATGATCAGGTCTCACGGTACATCAAGCTGTTACTCCGGCCACATACACACTAATATACGAACCACAAACCACAACCTGGCTGGCCGGGTACTGACTTGAGATGCTAACGAAATCTTCAATTTTTTTTTTTTTTTTGGTAAAATTTTGATGAGATTTTTACAGTGATTTATGCAGCATTTAAAAACCTACACACTGTGTTTGTAGTGACTTTTTGTTTTCAGGTTAGATAGAAAAAATAAATTGTGCAAAATGTTATAGTATAAAATAAAAGCTCTCCTTTTTCTACAAAATTGGGACGATGTACAATGCTCTAATAGACATCAGATAAAAGATAAAGGTTAGATAATTGTTCATCCACAACGTTTGAGCGAAAATGTCAGTAGATTCTATAATAAAAAATGTTGAAGTTTGTGATTTTTTTGTTTACTTTTTTGGTGAGAAAAATCAATAAAAACAAAGCTGTAAAACATCATTACTCAACGTGTGCAAAAATCATTACACTCCTATTAATACTTTTCGCAAAAAAATGGAACACAATGTAAATACTTTACTTCTGAGTTATTCATAATTTGTTTTCTGTGAAGCTCTGGTTACGGCCAGCCAAATCTCAGCATGTTGCTATCACCCACACTTATTGAGATCCCACAGGCGGCTGAGGTGTCATAAGTCCGTGGGCTTGAATGGAGTCCTCAGAGATGTTGCTGTATATTGTATTTTGAATCAAACAACCATAAAAATCGTAATTTTTGGTGAGAGAGATTTTAGATTTTTTAGATTTTGCCACCGAAGTGGCTAGTTTATTGTGCACCCCATATCCATCCTGTGGACGGTAGCGCGAGAGCATATGGATACACAAAAGGCCTAGGAACTAGGCCCCAAAGGGTTAACAGGAATACATATGGATTTATATCTACATATCTATAGTTCACTTATCTGTTACAAGCAAATTTAGGAAATTTGCTTAGTATATCTGGTATCTTATTTTCATTAATAAGATATCTTGACATGTCACATAGGTTATTATACTGTCTGTCTCTGTATTCCTCAATAAGTGGGCAAATTAAGCACTAGTGTTCAAGGAGTGACCATATGCCTGATCACATAATTTACATTTTGTTTGATCATCATCTGTGTGTCTCCAAACTGCCAGAAGTCTTGTAACCAAGCCTAAGCCTGGCCACTACAACATCAGTCAGTCTGTTCACATTGCAAGTTGCTCCATAAAACATATTATCTACGTTCATGTTATCATAGTGGGTTATAGATCTACTCAGGCTTCTAACTGCATTCCTATAACAATCATTTTCATTATTTACTTCTCTCCTAATATTATTCTAATGCTAGACACAGTTATACCAAAGTTATATTCTACGTTCTTCTTTTGGGTACTCTTCTTGGCTAACATATCAACTTTATCATGAAGGAGTAATCCAATGTGTGATGGGATCCATAGCAATTGTACATTAATTCCTTTGTCCCTAATTTTTGAGTATCTATACCTGGCTTCCCCAATGAGCATGTTGTTGGAGTCATTATATGAGCCAAGAGCCTTCAATGATGACATAGAATCAGTAATGATGATAGAGTCAAGCTCAGTGTCATAGGTTAGCTTTAGCGCCATTAGGATTGCAAACAATTCAGTTTGCAGTGTAGACGCCCAGTTGTTAATTCTTATGCCTAACTCAACAAATTATTATCGTTCTTAACTAGGGAGGTGGCAACAAGAGCAGATGCAGCCCTGCCAGAAGACTCCTGTTTAGATCCATCAGTGTATATAACTTGTGATAACTTGTTACTACCAGCTAGGTGAGAAATTTCTTCTTGAGCAGTTGCTCTAACAAGAGATTTAAGGAAGGGATTACTAGCAATGAGCTTCTTGGGAGGGACTTGTAGGTATGTGATATTAAATGAACACATCTTCCATGGAGGGGTGAAATGCTCTTGTTGCCTACAGTGATACAGGGTGAGAGAGAGAAAAAAAAAAACCACTAATTGCCAACCTGTCTTTCTGATAACAGCAAGAAAAAAAAAAAAAAAAAAAAAAAAAAAATTACATTTAAGGAAAAACATACTTAGAAATATGATAGAAAGTTAGAAACAAGCTGATTACATCAAAATGTTGCCAGAATTATGCACTATTTTTCGGTAACAAAACATTATTTTCCATAATTTTTCAATGTTCCTTTCTTTATCATTCCAAAAAGGCTCCCCCCTCCCTTAAGACGGCCAGGAGTCTATTGGTAATCCCCCTTATGTATGCTGGGAGGCAGTTGAACAGTCTTGGAGCCATGAAACTTATGGCGCTGTCTCTTAATGTACTCATGACACCTCTTGTTTTTCATTGGGGGAATATTTCAATGCCTTCCGAGTCCTTTGTTTTCGACGAGTGATTTCCGTGTGTAGATTTGGGTTTAGTTCCTCTAGAATTTTCCAAGTGTATATCATCATGTATCTTTGCTGCCTGCTTTCCAAGGCAAACAGGTCAAGGGACTTCAACAGTTACCAATAATCTAGAAGTTTTATTGTGCTTATACGTGTAGTGAAAAATTCTCTGTACATTCTCCAGGTCAGCTTTGAAAGAGTAGGTTAATGGGGAGTTTTTGCTTTAATCGGTCAACTTGTTTGATTACTGGAATATCGGAGGAATGCCTGATACGTAACACCTCAGGTGGAGTGCCCGAAACGTGGCACCTCAGGTGGAGGAGTGCCCGACAGATGGCACCTCAGGTGATGGAGTGCCCAAAACGTGGCACCGCAGGAGTGCCCCAAACGTGGCACCTCAGGAGCGCCCGAGACGTAGCACCTCAGGAGTCTCCAAGACGTGGTACCTCAGGAGTGCCAGAATGTGGCACCTCAGGAGCGCCCAAGATGTGACACCTCAAGAGTGCCCGAGACGTGGCACCTCAGGAGTGCCCGAGAAGTGGTACCTCAGGAGTGCCCGAGACGTGGCACCTCAGGAGTACCCGAAACGTGGCACCTCAGGAGTGCCAGAGACGTGGCACCTCAGGAGTGCCAGAGACGTGGCACCTCAGGAGTGCCAGAGACGTGGCACCTCAGGAGTGCCCGAGACGTGGCACCTCAGGAGTACCAGAGACGTGGCACCTCAGGAGTGCCAGAGACGTGGCACCTCAGGAGTGCCAGAGACGTGGCACCTCAGGAGTGCCAGAGACGTGGTACCTCAGGAGTGCCCGAGACGTGGCACCTCAGGAGTGCCCGAGACGTGGCACCTCAGGAGTGCCCGAGACGTGGCACCTCAGGAGTGCCAGAGACGTGGCACCTCAGGAGTGCCCGAGACGTGGCACCTCAGGAGTGCCAGAGACGTGGCCCCTCAGGAGGACCCCAATGGAAATAAGTCACTGACTTTTTTGGGTTATCCTAGGTTCTCTACACATATGCTGCTATGTATGATAATTCTATGTAACTGTATTTGTGTATACCTGAATAAACTTACTTACACCTCAGGAGGAGTGCCCAATACATGACACCTCAAGAGGAGCGCCCGAGACGTGGCACCTCAGGAGGAGTGCCCGAGAAGTGGCACCTCATGACTTTCTCTGGTTGAGGCACTACAACATTGCTGCTCAGCGGCCGCGTCCGATATTCACCTCAGTCTTTGGCTTCATCTCATGTACTTATAATCGTTAATCTCATGTATTTTCATTTTGTAAAGTGTTAATGACTGCAACCTAATTTTACGTGCAGTATATGCTGCAGATTGATTTTATGATGTTATTTTCTTTTAATATATCCATGAAGAGGGGGTGTAGCCCCTCCCTCCTCAGGAGACACAGCAGCCATTTGTTTACACTCGTCAGCTGTGACACAAAGAAATTTGCTTCTTTGATTGGCCACTCTTCACCTTAATCAGCTATTCCTTAGTGTCAGTATAATTGGTCTGAATCAGAGTTACGGTATTTAATAATTTCCCGTGTATTACAATACATTTTTTATTGAATTTTTAGTTGTCCTGGTGCCTGAGGTTGGTCGTCCCTGGTAGCAGTTTAATTTAAATTATTGTTATTTTGCTGCCTAAAGTTTTTTTATATTCATTTTATTGTGTTCTGAATTTTTCTTATTTTGCTTCGATACGCAGAACTGATGTTTTGTTTTTTCAGCCGCTAAGAAATTTTCACTTAGATCTGCTATTAAGAGAAAATATTTACTTAAATTTATTGCCCACAGTTGACTAACCAAATCAGTATCACCACAGAAAAGAAAGAGGCACCTCATACTTTCTCTGGTTGAGGCATCCTACAACCCATTGCGCTCAGGGGATCCGCGAACTGATATTCACCTCAGTTCTTGGCTCATCCATGTACTATAATCGTTAATTACATTGTAGTATACAATTTGTAAACAGTGTATTGCTGGATACCAATTTTACGGCAGTTTGCTGCAGTTCGCTTGTAGAAGGCTTTTTGCTGTTAAATATCCATGAAGGGGGTTGTAGTCCTACAAGCCCTTTGGGTAGACACAGCGGAGCATTTGTTGACAGCTGCTTTCAGTTTGTGACAAAGAATTTGCTTCTTGATTGGCACTCTTCACCTTAACAGCTGTTCTTAGTGTCAGTATAATTGGTCTGAATCAGCTGTTCGGGTACATTTATGAAGTTCCTGTGTATTACAATACTTTTGTAGAATTTTGTTGGGTACAGGTTGCCTGAGGGGTCGTTCCTGGAGTATAATTTAGAATTATGTGATAATTTTGATGCCAGTTTTTATATTCATTTATACAGTGTTGCGGGGATATTTTCATTTTGCTCAGATACAAGGCCAGACGGGTTTTTTGTGGGATAAAAGGCTTGTTAAGTGGGCACTTGACTGCATATAAAGGAGAACATTTTGCTTAAATTTTTGACGGCAGTTGTGAATAAAATAATCGGGTTTTCATACAAGACAAAGTAACAAGGTAAATGAACACTTGCAATACCTATATGCTTGTTGAGGGCAGGTCTGGTTACCAACTACTCAGTACGGATCAAGGCTTTTACAGTTGGCAAAGTTCTTGTCACACAGGAGGGAATACAAGGCTTGTTGAGGGGCAGTTGCTGCAGTATACAAGGCTTGTAGACAGGCTGTTGCTGGGGATACAAGGCTTGTTGAGGGGCAGTTGCTGCAGTATACAAGGCTTGTAGACAGGTTTGTTGCTGGGGATACAAGGCTTGTTGAGGGGCAGTTGCTGGAGTAATACAAGACTTGTAGACAGGCTGTTGCTGGGGATACAAGCTTGTTGGAGGGCATTGCTGCAGTATACAAGGCTTGTAGACAGGCTGTTGCTGGGGATACAAGGCTTGTTGAGGGGCATTGCTGAGTATACAAGGCTTGTAGACAGGCTGTTGCTGGGGATACAAGGCTTGTTGAGGGGCAGTTGCTGAGTATACAAGGCTTGTAGACAGGCTGTTGCTGGGGAAACAAGGCTTGTTGAGGGCAGTCTGAAGTATACAAGGCTTGTAGACAGGCTGTTGCTGGGGATACAAGGCTTGTTGAGGGGCAGTTGCTGAGTATACAAGACTTGTTAGACAGGCTGTTGCTGGGGATACAAGGCTTGTTGAGGGGCAGTTGCTGGAGTATACAAGACTTGTAGACAGGCTGTTGCTGGGGATACAAGGCTTGTTGAGGGGCAGTTGCTGCAGTATACAAGGCTTGTAGACAGGCTGTTGCTGGGGATACAAGGCTTGTTGAGGGGCAGTTGCTGCAGTATACAAGGCTTGTAGACAGGCTGTTGCTGGGGATACAAGGCTTGTTGAGGGGCAGTTGCTGGAATATACAAGGCTTGTAGACAGGCTGTTGCTGGGGATACAAGGCTTGTTGAGGGGCAGGTGCTGGAATATACAAGGCTTGTAGACAGGCTGTTGCTGGGGATACAAGGCTTGTTGAGGGGCAGTTGCTGCAGTATACAAGGCTTGTAGACAGGCTGTTGCTGGGGATACAAGGCTTGTTGAGGGGCAGTTGCTGGAGTATACAAGGCTTGTAGACAGGCTGTTGCTGGGGATACAAGGCTTGTGAGGGGCAGTTGCTGCAGTATACAAGGCTTGTAGACAGGCTGTTGCTGGGGATACAAGGCTTGTTGAGGGGCACTTGCTGCAGTATACAAGGCTTGTAGACAGGCTGTTGCTGGGGATACAAGGCTTGTTGAGGGGCAGTTGCTGCAGTATACAAGGCTTGTAGACAGGCTGTTGCTGGGGATACAAGGCTTGTTGAGGGGCAGGTGCGGGCAATATACAAGGCTTGTAGACAGGCTGTTGCTGGGGATACAAGGCTTGTTGAGGGGCAGTTGCTGCAGTATACAAGGCTTGTAGACAGGCTGTTGCTGGGGATACAAGGCTTGTTGAGGGGCAGTTGCTGGAATATACAAGGCTTGCAGACAGGCTGTTGCTGGGGATACAAGGCTTGTTGAGGGGCAGTTGCTGCAGTATACAAGGCTTGTAGACAGGCTGTTGCTGGGGATACAAGGCTTGTTGAGGGGCAGTTGCTGGAGTATACAAGGCTTGTAGACAGGCTGTTGCTGGGGATACAAGGCTTGTTGAGGGGCAGTTGCTGCAGTATACAAGGCTTGTAGACAGGCTGTTGCTGGGGATACAAGGCTTGTTGAGGGGCAGTTTGCTGCAGTATACAAGGCTTGTAGACAGGCTGTTGCTGGGATACAAGGCTTGTTGAGGGGCAGTTGCTGGATATACAAGGTTGTAGACAGGCTGTTGCTGGGATACAAGGCTTGTTGAGGGGCAGTTGCGGGAATATACAAGGCTTGTAGACAGGCTGTTGCTGGGGATACAAGGCTTGTTGAGGGGCAGTTGCTGCAGTATACAAGGCTTGTAGACAGGCTGTTGCTGGGGATACAAGGCTTGTTGAGGGGCAGTTGCTGGAGTATACAAGGCTTGTAGACAGGCTGTTGCTGGGGATACAAGGCTTGTTGAGGGGCAGTTGCTGCAGTATACAAGGCTTGTAGACAGGCTGTTGCTGGGGATACAAGGCTTGTTGAGGGGCAGTTGCTGCAGTATACAAGGCTTGTAGACAGGCTGTTGCTGGGGATACAAGGCTTGTTGAGGGGCAGTTGCTGAGTATACAAGGCTTGTAGACAGGCTGTTGCTGGGGATACAAGGCTTGTTGAGGGCAGTTGCTGGAATATACAAGGCTTGTGAAGGCTGTTGCTGGGGATACAAGGCTTGTTGAGGGGCAGTTGCTGGAGTATACAAGGCTTGTAGACAGGCTGTTGCTGGGGATACAAGGCTTGTTGAGGGGCAGTTGCTGGAGTATACAAGGCTTGTAGACAGGCTGTTGCTGGGGATACAAGGCTTGTTGAGGGGCAGTTGCTGCAGTATACAAGGCTTGTAGACGGGGCTGTTGTGGGGATACAAGGCTTGTTGAGGGGCAGTTGCTGCGCAGTATACAAGGCTTGTAGACAGGCTGTTGCTGGGGATACAAGGCTTGTTGAGGGGCAGTTGCTGGAATATACAAGGCTTGTTGACAGACTGTTGCTGGGGATACAAGGCTTGTTGAGGGGCAGTTGCTGGAGTATACAAGGCTTGTAGACAGGCTGTTGCTGGGGATACAAGGCTTGTTGAGGGGCAGTTGCTGAAGTATACAAGGCTTGTAGACAGGCTGTTGCTGGGGATACAAGGCTTGTTGAGGGGCAGTTGCTGGGTTATACAAGGCTTGTAAGGGCATGCTATGAATGGGGATACAAGGCTTGTTGAGGGGCAGTTGCTGGAGTATACAAGGCTTGTAGACAGGCTGTTGCTGGGGATACAAGGCTTGTTGAGGGGCAGTTGCTGCAGTATACAAGGCTTGTAGACAGGCTGTTGCTGGGGATACAAGGCTGTTGAGGGGCAGTTGCTGCAGTATACAAGGCTTGTAGACAGGCTGTTGCTGGGGATACAAGGCTTGTTGAGGGCAGTTGCTGGAATATACAAGGCTTGTAGACAGGCTGTTGCTGGGGATACAAGGCTTGTTGAGGGGCATTTTGCTGATATACAGGCTTGTAGACAGCTGTTGCTGGGATACAAGGCTTGTTGAGGGGCAGTTGCTGGAAGTATACAAGGCTTGTAGACAGGCTGTTGCTGGGGATCACAAGGCTTGTTGAGGGGCAGTTGCTGGGAATAACAAGGCTTTGACATGAGCTGTTACTGGGGATACAAGGCTTGTTGAGGGGCAGTTGCTGGAGTATACAAGGCTTGTAGACAGGCTGTTGCTGGGGATACAAGGCTTGTTGAGGGGCAGTTGCTGGAGTATACAAGGCTTGTAGACAGGCTGTTGCTGGGGATACAAGGCTTGTTGAGGGGCTGTTGCAGGATGATACAAGGCTTGTAGAGGGACTTGGGAATACAAGGCTTGTAGAGGAACGCTTGTTGGGAATACAAGGCTTGTAGAAGGACATTGTGGATACAAGGCTTGTTAGGGATTCCCTGCAGTATCAAGGGAACAAGGCTGTTGCTGTCGTGACAAGGCTTGAGGTGCAGTGCTGAATATACCAGGCTGTTAACTGCTGGCTGCGGCATCCCAACGTTGAGGCAGTCCGCTGAATTACGGCCCTTGGACAGTGTTCTGTACAAGCTCTCTGCTAGTTGCTGGAATAAAAGGCTTGTAAAAGGACTGTTGTTGGGAAACATAGCTTTGGCAGGGATTTACAGTTGAATGTGACGGGATACAAGGCTTGTTGACGGGCGTTGCTGGGCATACAAGTCTTGTAGAGGGCTGTTGCTGGGGATACAAGGCTTGTGAGGGACTTGCTGGAATACAAGTCTTGTAACAGGGCTGTTGCTGGGAATACAAGGCTTGTTGAGGGAATTTGTTGGTAATACAAGGCTTGTAGGGGGACTTGGGAATACCAGGCTTGTAGAGGAACTTGGTTGGGAATACAAGGCTTGTAGAGGTAACTATTGTT